TATATATATATATATATATATATATATATATATATATATATATATATATATATATATATATATATATATATATATATATATATATATATATATATATATATATATATATATATATATATATATATATATATATATATATATATATATATATATATATATATATATATATATATATATATATATATATATATATATATATATATATATATTAAGGTATGAGACCTTCAAACACGTAGTTAATCACAGTTTTTTGTGTTTTGTCACGTCATAAGATAATCAGTTTAAAGAAAAATCAATTTAGAGGAAATAATATAGGTTTTGACTGTCTGAACCTCAAGATTCTGATGCTGTTTAGTAACAGCTCATGCTTTCATCGTCTGCCAAATGTCGCATTCTCAATGCACTGTTTTTTTTCTGCCATTAGATCATTGTTGGTGTTTGTGTTACTCTTGGTTCACGTTCATGTCTTTCGGAGCCAAAGTTGCTGTCAAAGCCAAGGTCAAAGCTTCACACATTCTTCATGCCGGTTTTATGAGCGTTCCCATCTCTACCCTCTCTTGTTAAACGCTGACAGAATGAGGGGCACATTTGGGGGATTCACTCTATTCAGGCTGTAAAACCTCCAGCTCTAAAGGCCCCATTTTGCCCCTTAGAATGGTCTATTTTATATTTGGCAAAATGTAGACAGCACCCCCTAGTGGATTTAACATCTGAAACGTGCATTAAAATAACGCATTTAAAGTTTTCACACTTTTCCTCTGTGTTCTCTGTGCTTCCTTTGTTTTCATCCTGATTGATGAATTGAAACCTGGCGTTTTACATGAACACTAAATAAAGTGATCAGGTTAAAGTGTGGTTACATGTCATTTCAAATTGGAGTTGCATAAAACGTGTGGCTTCCTAGTTCCCTCCTCCTACTGTTTTATGAGCGTTCCCATCTCCATCTCTACCATCTCTCAGTGCGCTCTTGTTAAACGCAGACAGAATGAGGGGCACATTTGGGGGATTCACTCCATTCAGGCTGTAAAACCTCCAGCTCTGAAGGGCCGGTTTCGCCTGTTTTTCTCAGTTCTTTTTTACAAGCGTGGGGTGCAGGACAGCTGCCGTGGGTGTCAATGGAGACTCGGTGCCAATAAAGCATGGGTCAGGCAGGCCTTCGGGCCACTCACAGGCCACAGACTGGCTTTACAGGCCGTCCTGAGACTGGAGATCCAGTAAAATAGCCAGTGGTCCAGGACTGAGGAATTTAGGGTGCAGGAAACAGGAGCGTGGAGGTGAAAGGTGAACCAGTGTGGACGTATAGCGCTGCATTCACACGCTGGTGTGTAAACTGAGCAGAGCGTGCTATGTTGTATTCCTGGTTTCCAGGATGTTGATCAGGATGAATGTTGCACCATTTGGGTGTTTGACAGCAAAGCTGAACACATGTTGAGGCGCTAAAGTGGTTTAGTTTTTGTGAAACTGCAAAAAAAAAAAAGTACTTTGGCGTACATTTGACTGCAGTTTATGAGTGAAATGAACACTAGGAGGCAGTATAATGGCAACCACGTTGGTTCCTTTTCACAATAATGATATTTCAAGGGACATGTTATTGATGAAGAAGTTTTGTGCAGTTCTTTGCACAGCACCAAATAAATACAGCAAAACAAATTAACGGTGTTGTAATGAACACATACACTCACTGGCCACTTTATTAGGTACACCTTACTAGTACCCCTTTTCCCTTCAGAACTGCATTAATCATTCGTGGCGTAGATTCAACAAGCTACTGGAAATATTCCTCAGAGATTTTGCTCCATATTGACATGATAGCATCACACAGTTGCTGCAGATTTGTCGGCTGCACATCCATGATGCCAATCTCACTTTCCACCACATCCTTAGATAGATATCCTTGAGGAATCTTTTTTTTTTTCATCTGATGAGCGATGAAACCCTCAGTCAGTATTCATCTTGCTTTAAAAAGTTCGAGCATTTTGAGACAGCGTTTGTGTTGTGTTTTTGTACTGATTGGTGGTGTTTTTGTGTGTTTGATTTGTGCAGCGGTGGAGACGCAGAGCACCAGTTCTGAAGAGATGATCCCCAGCTCTCCTTCTCCACCTCCTCCTCCACGGGTCTACAAACCCTGCTTCGTGTGCCAGGACAAATCTTCTGGATACCATTATGGAGTCAGCTCTTGTGAGGGCTGCAAGGTATGCAAACACATATAAAAGAGAATGATGCTCTCGAAATGTAGTGGAGACTTATTATTATAATATATTCGGTTGAAGATAAAATGATTCGCCCTCCTGTGATAATTTATGTCTTTTTCCAAATATTTTCCAAGTGAGAAAGACGTTTTTTTTTTTTTTTTTGGCTGGCATAAAACTGCTAAGGTCCAATATTATTAGCCTCTTTAAGATTTTTTAGTCTACTGAGCACTTTGCCATGATGACAGCACATAATATTTGATTAAGACACTAGTATTCAGCTTAAAGTGACATTTAAAGGCTTAACTAGGGTAATTAGGGTAAAGTTAGGGTTATTAGGCAAGTCCTTGTATAACAGTGGTTTGTTCTGGAGACAATCCAAAACTAATATTGCTTAAGGGGGCTAATAATATTGACCTTAAAATTGCATTAAAAAAAATTGATAGCTGCTTTTATTCTAGCCGAAATAAAACAAATAAGACTTTCTCTAGAAGAAAAAATATTATAGGAAATACTGAGAAAAATTCCTCAATCTGTTCAACATCATTTGGGAAATATTTGAAAATAAATGAATATTGCACAGGAGGGCTAAAGATTTTACCCTCAAATGTTTGTAACATATAAATTTCAAAATAATATCTCAAAAAACCTTTTCCCGAATAAACCTACATTAAATTTCTACATTAAAGAAATGAACAAATATTAAAACTCCTCGTTTAAACCTCTCCAAGATAACGCATTTATAGTGAAAATCCAAACAGCTCAAATATACTATGGGAAATTCAATTTGACCTTATATAATATAGAGTTGAAGACAAAAATATGAACCCTCCTGTGACATTTTAATTGTTTTTCCAGATATTTTACAGGTGATCTTTTTTTTTTTTCGTGTTCAATAGAATTTAATTCAAACAGATTTGTGACAAGTCAATGGTAGATTTTGACAGAATTTTCAGTTTTGGATGAACTAGCCCTTTGAATGACCTTGTGATTGTTAAATGAATGTGATCACACGTGCATATTCCAGCCCAGTGTAACCACCAAGCTCAAGAGTATTGCTTTGATTTCTTTAAGAACTACATCGCCCTCTGCTGGCTAAGATGATGAAATGCAGAAACCTCATCTCTAATATTAAACAAAGCATATTTTAACGAAATCAAAGCCTTCAGTGTGGATAAGGAATTTAAATGAACTTGTGTTTCTGTGTTTATCTCTGGTATTTGCAATAGGGTTTTTTCCGCCGCAGTATCCAGAAGAACATGGTGTACACCTGTCACAGAGACAAAAACTGCCAGATCAACAAAGTGACGCGCAACCGCTGCCAGTACTGCAGACTGCAGAAGTGCTTCGAGGTCGGAATGTCCAAAGAAGGTGAAACCACTGTAACTCTAATAGTGTATACTGTATTAACACATTAGGTACACCTGTCCAACTGCTTAGCAATGCAAAAATTTAATCAGCCAATCACATGGCAGCAGCTCAATGCATTCAGGCATGTAGACATGGTCAAGACGATCTGCTGCAGCTCAAACTGAGCATCAGAATGGGGAAGAAAGAGGATTTAAGTGACTTTGAACATGTCATGGTTGCTGCTGCCAGACGGGCTGGTCTGAGTATTTCAGAAACTGCTGATCTACTGGGATTTTCACGCACAACTATCTCTAGGGTTTACAAAGAATGGTCCGACAAAGAGGAAATATCCAGTGAGCGGCAGTTCTGTGGGCGCAAATGTATTGTTGATGCCAGAGGTCAGAGGAGAATGGCCAGACTGGCTCCAGCTGATGGAAAGGCAACAGTATCTCATTAGTACCAATTGATCTGTGTTTCAAAGTTACAGCCTACCTGAGTATTGTTGCTGACCATGTCCATCCCTCAATGACCACAGTGTATCCATCTTCTGATGGCTACTTCCAGCAGGATAACCATGTCATAAAGCGTGAATCATCTCAGACTGGTGAACATGACGACGAGTTCACTGTACTCAAATGGCCTCCACAGTCACCGGCCTCAATCCAATAGAGCAGCTTTGGGATGTGGTGGAACGGGAGATTGGCATCATGGATGTGCAGCCGACAAATCTGCAGCAACTGCGTGATGCTATCATGTCAATGTGGAGTAAAATCTCTGAGGAATGTTTCCAGTACCTTGTCGAATCTATGCGACGAAGGGTTAAAGCTGTTCTGAAGGGAAAAGGGCGGTCCAACCCGTTACTAGTAAGGTGTACCTAATAAAGTGGCCGCTTAGTGTAACCTGTTTTCCACACATAACTAAAAATGACATTCTGCCCCATGACTGACCTCAGATCAGCTCGGGTTTCAGCTTTTTGTGCTTTTGTATTTGATGTGTGTGTGTTTGAGCACTCGTGGTTGTCTTCATTCAGTGTTGTTGTTCTTCTAGCGGTGCGGAACGACAGGAATAAGAAGAAGAAGGATGTAAAAGAGGAGGTGGTTCTGCCTGAAAGCTACGAGCTGAGCGGCGAACTGGAGGAACTGGTTAATAAAGTCAGCAAAGCACACAGAGAAACCTTCCCTTCGCTCTGTCAGCTGGGGAAATACACAACTGTGAGTCTGCAGAACACACACACACACACACACACACACACACACACACAGCTCCTTCTGTCCGGCAGATTGATAAACGCACGTCCAGACCAGCCCTTATTTTTCACAGTTTTCAGCCGTCAGCATCAACACACATGCACAGACATTAAGATTGCCAGATTTCTGTTCAGTTGTATGCAGAAGTGTATGTCGTTGTGTTTTCCTCTGTGTTTCAGAACTCTAGTGCAGACCACAGGGTTCAGCTGGATCTGGGACTGTGGGATAAATTCAGTGAGCTCTCCACAAAGTGCATTATAAAGATAGTGGAGTTCGCCAAACGTCTGCCAGGATTTACATCGCTCACTATCGCAGACCAGATCACCTTACTCAAATCTGCCTGCCTCGATATACTGGTAAATACAACAACACCTACATTATGCCAAGCATAGAGTACACCCTCACAAATCCCTCATTTGCATTAATGTTTTCTATAGGAAGCTGTACAATATTATATTTGAGCATTAGATTAGACAGTACTGAAGCCAAATCTGGAGCTTCATTCATTCATTCATTTTCATGTCGGCTTAGTCCCTTTATTAATCCGGGGTCGCCACAGCGGAATGAACCGCCAACTTATCCAGCTAGTTGGCGGTTCGCAGCGAATTCCCTTCCAGCTGCAACCCATTTCTGGGCAACATCCACACACACATTCACACACATATACTACAGCCAATATAGCTTATTCAATTGACCTATACTACATGTCTTTAGACTGTGGTGAAAACCCAGACGAACACAGGGAGAACATGCAAACTCCACACAGAAAAGCCAACTGACCCAGCTGGGACTCGAATCAGCGACCTTCTTGCTGTAAGGCAACAGTGCTAACTACTGAGCCACCATGTCGCCTTGTTTATGATATATGAATTATAATTATTTATACTTTAAATTACATATTTAAGTACCTAAGAATTAATTTATATTACTAATGACTTTAAATTAACATTTATGTTTAAATAATTGCATAAATAAATCTTTATAAATCACCTGTAGCGCATGTCTTTGTACTGTGGGGGAAACCGGAGCACCCGGAGGAAACCCACTCGAAGGCAGGGAGAACATGCAAACTCCACACAGAAACGCCAACTGAGCTGAGGTTCGAACCAGCGACCTTCTTGCTGTGAGGTGACAGCACTACCTACTGCGCCACTGCCTCGCCCAAATCTGGAGCTTATCATACAAAATAGCTTTTGATAATGGTCCAAAATGAGAACACCCAAATGTGTTCATTCATTCATTTTCTTTTCGGCTTCGTCCCTTTATTAATCTGGGGTCGCCCCAACAGAATGAACCGCCAACTTATCCAGCATATGTTTTACATAGCGGATGCCCTTCCAGCCGTAACCCATCTCTGGGAAGCCCATACACACTCATTCACATACATACATACAGTACAGACAATTTAGCTTACCCAATTCACCTGTACCGCATGTCTTTGGACTGAGGGGGAGCACTCGGAGGAAACCCACACCAACACGAGGAGAACATGCAAACTCCACAAACACCAACTGACCCAGCTGAGGCTCAAACTAGCGACCTTCTTGCTGTAAAGAGACAGCACTACCTACTGCGCCACTGCATCGCCACCCAAATGTATTTTTAGGGAAAAATATCAAATAAAAAATTTTAAAAGAGCAAAATTCAAGAGCATATATATCTTTCTGTTTCTAAAGATGCTCGGTGACTAAAATATTATTGTAATAAATATATCCATTTAATAAAAGATGTAATGGAAGTAGTTAAATCAACAGTGCACTGTTAATGATTGTTTGAATGCTTCCTGCAGATGTTGCGGATCTGCACTCGCTACACTCCTGAGCAGGACACCATGACGTTTTCAGACGGACTGACCCTCAATAGGACACAGATGCACAACGCCGGCTTCGGGCCGCTCACAGACCTGGTGTTTGCGTTCGCCGGGCAGCTCCTGCCTCTGGAGATGGATGACACAGAGACGGGGCTCCTCAGCGCCATCTGCCTCATCTGTGGAGGTACTGACGCATCTATACTCCTGCTCTTAAATGAATTTATTTCACAAAAAAGGACAGTGTCATACTCTGGGATGTGAATATAAGGGATAACCCCACCCCCCAGCTCCCAGATTTTTTCAGATTTTCCCCAAAAACTAAATCAAATTCATTGTGCTTTAATATTATTATTAATTACAAAGGATAGAATAAATAGCATATCTTAGAAAACAGCTGCAAATTTAACAGTTTAGCCTATTACAATTAACTGTTTCACAGAAACTCACTGTATAATTGATTAAATATACATTCTGATTAAAGAATGAATCTCTCATTTTGATTGTAATATCAGGTTATATTAAGGTCATCATGTCAGGTCACCAAAATTCACTGTCTAGCCCAGGTGTGGGCAAACTTGATCCTGGAGGGCCAGTGCCCTGCATAGTTTAGCTCCAACCCTATTCAAACAGACCTCCATATAGAGTTCAAGTGATCTTGAAGACATTGATTAGTTTGTTCAGGTGTGTTTGACTAGTGTCAAAGTTTGCCCATCCCTGGTCTAGCCAGTGTCTAAGCACAAGTTAGTCTGAAGTCCAATAATGACATCAAATGACGCTGATTTCAGGTTGGTTTTAGATTGTGCTGTCTATTCGTCAGGTATGGCAACCAAAATCAAACGTTTGATAGACATCATAGTGGTAACATCCACACAACGTCAAGCTTGTAACATCATTGGACGTTGATATTTGGTTGATTTTAGATTGGACGTTGAACATTGACATCGGCCTGATGTTGAGTTCTGACGCCAACACGATTTTCATTTCCAAACAAAATGCAACGTCCCCCATAACATTAGGTGTACAACATCAATCTGACATCATGTTGACATTCTGTGGCTGCTGGGAAAGATCTTTGTACTTATGTTAGTATTGTGTACTTTTGAAAGTAATGCAATACCATATTACTTAGTTCCTTTTTATGGTAAGTAATGTAAAGTAATTACTGTTGAGTTACTTTTGCGTTAAGTTACTTTTGCGTCTTGAGTTAATTTTAATTTCGCAACTTATTTTTTAAAAGCTAATTAATTAAACTAGTAAGTAACTTGCAATACATTTTTACAAAAGTAACTCACGTGTTATCACTTAATTTTTTAGTAAGTTTAATTTAACAATTAGTTTTAAGTAATGCATTACCTTACGTGCTACTTAAAAAAGGTAACATCACTATGTAACTCGCGTTACCCCCAACACTGTTTATAGCTGTGTTATATTGACAAATAATGCAGTTGTAGTATTCTATATAATGCAATATTTGATATGCATTTGTATGACTGTTTTAAATGCATAGACCGTATGGACCTGGAGGAGCCTCACCGTGTGGATCAGCTGCAGGAGCCGCTGCTGGAGGCGCTGAAGATCTACGCTCGCCGCCGCCGTCCCAACAAACCTCACATGTTCCCCCGAATGCTGATGAAAGTCACCGACCTGCGGGGCATCAGCACTAAAGGTGAGCAGCCTTTGAAGACGGCACAAAATTAACTACGTACAGTTTATACAGTATAAAAACAATGGAAACCTACAGGTGAAGTCAGAATTATTTGCCCTCCTGATTTATTAGCCCTCCAGTAAATTTTTCCCCCAATTTCTGTTTAACGGAAATATTTTTTTAGCACATTTCTGAATACAATAATTTTAATAACTAATAATTACTAATTTTAATAACTAATTTATTATAACTAATTAATAAAACTAATTTCTTTTATCTTTGTCATGATAACAGCACATAATATTTTACTAGATTATTTTTAAGACACTAGTATTCAGCTTAAAGTGACATTTAAAGGCTTCACTAGGGTAACTAGGCAAGTTAGGGTAATTAGGCAAGTCATTGTATAATGATGGTTTGTTCTGTAGACCTTAAAACAGCTTTTATTCTAGCCAAAATTAAACAAATTAGACTCTCTCGAGTAAAAAAAAATCCTTGCTCTGTTCAACATCATTTGGGAAACATTTGAAAAAGAAAAAATATTAACAGGAGGGTGAAAAATTTTGACTTTAGCTGTATGTAATGTCCCCACAATTCACAAAAACAAACATGAGTGTGTGTGTGTTTTTAGGAGCGGAGCGTGCCATCACCCTGAAGATGGAGATCCCGGGCCCAATGCCTCCTCTGATCAGAGAGATGCTGGAGAATCCGGAGATTTTTGAGGACAGCAGCGACTCTAATGACTCCGGTGCTGCCGCCGTCGTCCCGGCGCCGAACATCAAACGTGAGCGGGACGAGGAGGAGGAGGATGAAGACGAAGAGGAGGATGAGTGTGCGGAGGAGGGCCGGGAGCGAGCAGCAGACAGTGAGGATGAAGAGCTGGACTCGGCCGGAGCTAGAAAGAGCTCATCAGGGAGAGCACAGTGACCAATGGAGGACCGTATGTAGACAAGCAGAAAACTGCGGACAACACTGAGTTTCACACACATATGATCCGAGAAGACAAACATTAGCATTCAGACGAAGAGGATAGGATAAACATACACAACTTTGCACATCTAGTTTCCATCAGTATGGACGTTTGCTGTAGAATAAAAAATATTATCATAATTAGGGATGCACCAATGCCAATAATGGGATAATGGTACCGATAATGGGACCGATCATAGTACCCAATAATGGTACCGATAATGGTACTGATAATGGTACTGATAATGGTATCAATCATAGTACCTATAATGGGATATTGGTATAAATAATAGTACCAATAATAGTATCAATAATAGTACTGATAATAGTACTAATAATGGTACAGATAATGGGATAATAGTACCAATAATGGTAGCAATAAATGGGATAATGGAACAGATAATGAGATAATGGTACCGATAATGGTACAGATCATAGTATCAGTAATGGTACCGATAATAGTACCGATAATGTTATCAATAATAGTACCAATAATGGGATATTGTTATCGATAATAGTACCGATCATTGTATCGATAATAGTACTCATAATGGTAATAATAATGGAACCGATAATGGGATAATAGTACTCATAATGGTAATAATAATGGAACCGATAATGGGATAATAGTACAGATAATGGTAGCAATAGATGGGATAATAGTACAGATAATGGTATTGTTAATAATACTGATAATGGTACCGATAATAGTACCGATAATAGTAACAATAATGGTACCGATAATGGTATCGATAATAATGTTGATAATGGTACAGATAATGTTATCAATAATAGTACCGATAATGGTACTGATAATGGTGCTGATAATAGTATTGATAATAGTTGAGACAATGGTACCGATAATAGTATCAATAATGGGATAATGGTACCGATCATGGTATCAATATTAATACTGATAATTGTACCGATAATGGTAACCATAATGGTACCAATCGGTATCAGCCCTGAAATTGAGGTCCTTTTTCAATATTACAAATAAGCTGTCTTAAAATAACTGGTCACTGAGTCTTACTTGGAAAACTGCCATATCACCCAAAAAGGTATTAATATTGATGAGCACAAGAAAAATATCGGTATTCATACTTGGTCTTTAAAAATGGTATCGGTGCATCCCTATTAAAAATAATACAATGTATTTGCAACTTTTCATCTCATCTTTTCATCAACTTTGTCACAGTTATGTTTTTTTCAAAACATTTCTTTCAGATTCAGAATTCACTTTTGCATTTCATGCAGTCATGATTGTAAATCAATAAGTCACAATTATGGAAAAAGAAACTAATGTGCAAATGATAAATATCTATAACATTGTGATATTAAAAGTGAGAGATGCAATATAGTAAATTCTAAAGAAAGATCATAATTGTGACAAAATTTTAATTCTGCGAAAAGATGAAAGCTCAGAGTTCTGTGCAAAAATGTAAACGTTAAATTTAAAACCTGCATTTGCAAGATGTAAACTTGCGATCATACATAGACTAATTTATAATTAGGACATATATAAAGGTTGCAA